TTTCTGCCACTTGGATAAGAAGGAAACGGCACCAGGTGGTTGTGACGTGGGTTGGGTTGTTTGCAGGACACGAGCTGAGGGCCTGAGACATCAGTGATGGATGAAAGGGCTCAGGGAGACACTTCCAGACATGACTGAGCTTAAACACCTCGGACAAAATCGTTACTCCACAGAGGTCAATAAAACTGAGCTCTGGTTCCTTTGGGATGGAGATTTATCTGCCCCCTGAGCCACTGGGAGGGAGAGGAATTCTTGTCGTTTGTGGTATCCTGGAAGCTTGGGAATATTCCCTCAGCAAACAGTAGGTTTGAGCCTGTGGAGCTGTGAGTGATCTTTGCTTCATTGATTTCTGTGGGTCTGCAGTTTCCTGAAGGACAAGATAAACTTCAGAATTTTCCCCTGCCCCTTTGATACTTGTTTTCCCCAAAAGCTGCTCAGAGCAGCCCGTGGGCCCCAAGGCTGAGTTCTGTTTGTGTCCCACGAGCTGCTGACAGCACAACCCCAGCCCCAGGGATGTCCCAGAACCACCCAAGGTCCTGGAAGATCTGCAGTCCACTTCTTCCTGGATCAGCAGTGCCACTGCCTCAGCCAAAAGTGTCTCAGTCACAATGGCTTCTGAACACTGAAGGTTTCTCCCTTGGCAAAGTTGGTTGTGGTGGCAGCGAGACTCTTTGCATTAGAGAGACATTAAACTGAGAGACTCGGTTGTGAGACTGATTAATGTCGAAATCCAAAGGCATGAGGGGTGCCTTAAGCATTCAGAGTGATGTAAATACCAACAATTCTTTCATTTCAACAATTCTTAAAGAAATTTAAATCTCTCCTCCAAAAGAAAGTGCACCAGAAGGAGGGTATATGAAGTCTTACCTCTCTCCCAGGTAGAAATACTTACCTACAGCTTGACTTAGGTGTGTTGGAGGATTAAAAATCCAGAGCTATTTATTGTATTGCTTCTTGACTCCTCAGTTGTCTTTCTGGTCCTGGGCAATTGGATCAAAGTCTCTTAAAGCAGAGAACAGCACTGGCTGCTTTTATACAGTGACTTGCAGGATGCACTTGAGAAAGTGGGAGACTTGGAGTTCCTCTGTCTTTTTGTATGTCCAGAAGTGGCATTTAGAGGCCCCATAAATTACCTCTTGCTGTGAAGAGGAGCAATGGGATTGCTGCACTAAGAATGCAGGAATATAACTTCATATCCCAATGGCAAAGGTACTTTCCAGGAGGGAAGCAATCCTGGGTTCTGGACAGCTGGAATTGGCCTGGGTGTCCTCGTGTGCAGGAGTGGAGGGAGGTTGGTGTTCACAGGTCTAGAAAACCAACCCAGAAGTGACCTGTGCATTCCATCCCAAACATCCAGAGTTTGGGACAGGGATTTAGACACCGAAAAGCTTCAGTTTTGAGGCAGCATTTCCGGCTGAGTTATTGACTGTATCTGTACCTCCCTGCACAGAGCTCCAGGTAGAATAATTTGTTTGTATTGACAAGAGCTGAGGTGGAAGTAAATTAATGTAGTCAAGCTCATCGATTTTTCCCCACTTATGAAGAAGGGAGGTAAGATCATCTCGATGCTGCCATCACAAGGCTTCTCTCAAAGGGTCATATTCTACTTTTTCTGAAGGTAATTGAACAAAAATAACGGTGGGTTTGCTGAATTTTCCCAAAGAGGAGCCACTTCTGACATGGCACTTAAATTAAGGGTGACTTTCACCAAAAGCTGAAACATGTTTGAAAATCAGAGTGAGGTGGAATCTCTGACTTCCAGTCTCAACAGAATGAGCAGTAAACCTGGGAGTTAAACACCAGGAGCAGGAATTTTACAGTTTCAAAGGGTATTTGTGTTCTGTCTCTAGTCTGGAAATATGGAATGATCAAAACTACAGGGTGGAATTTATCTCAACATGTCATAGAGAAAGTCTGATCATAAATTCTGACTTGTGAGCCTGCAGTACCTTTCCAGTACCTTGGGAAGGTGAGATAAAAATGGATCCATTATTTACCCATGGATATCTCAATTACTGCTGTCCTTGATTGGTCTTGTTCTTTTCATTATTGGCCTTCTGAGGGGGATTAAAATTAGCCACATATTGAATGATCCTTACCATTTACTCCAGGTGACTTTCTGATGGACATTCACTGATCATAAGCAGTTTAATTTCATTTATTGATTAAATGAAACTAATGAATTTCATTTATTTAAACTTGATTGGGGGAAACAAATATGTGAAAGTTATTTATCTCATTTGTGTGAAACTTCCTTAAGAAAAACCAAAGAACCATAATGTAGATTGTATGAAGTACATAGGAAGTGGTCTTGTTAATTATTTCATTTCCTATTTGAGAAATTATCAAAAATATGTGAAATTATTCCAAAGGCCAGTCTGGTGTGTTCTGCATCGGCCCCATTCATAGGAAAGTGTTTAGTACTTAGCATTTCTATGGTGCTGTGTGGGTTCATATTTGTATGACTCCCCCTGGCAGAGATTTTTGACACACTCCTTAGTCTTCATCTGTCCATGAAATGGGTAATTTAGGCAGCATGGCCGATTAATTACTCAAAAAAAAAAAAGCCCTTTTGTGCTCAGGGTGATGTAACTGCAATTACCTCTCATTTCAGTGTGGAAAAGGTGTGATAACCACTCATTTGTGCAGCTGAAGGGTTTAACTGGGAGTTATTACAGCGCACAGTGTAACTGTAATTAAAGCACGCGGGTTTCTGGTATGAAAAGTCCTCATACATCAAGTGGCAATAACAGATGAATCAGTCATATTGAATCTCCAGTTTCATTGTTCACGTCGTGTCAAACCCCAAATTTCCAGGGTTGTCAGCGCTCACCTGGTTAAACACAGCTCCTGCAGAGCACAGGGACATGGGGCAATAATAATTTAAATGATATTTACACTTCTGAAGTGATTCAGATGCCTCTGATTAACTGGTAATGGATGAGTTTAGGAGTAAAAACATCAGCTTCTTTTTAGAAAGCATCTCCCGAAGAACACGTGCGCTGGAAGTCTGGTTGCTTTGCGTGACATCGTGGGTGGGTTCAAAACGTTGTACAAGTTTAAATTTGCAGCTTGCAAAGCCAGTTTTCTGTGGGTGTGAAGGAAAACAAATCCTGCCCTGCTTTGGTGCTGAGGCTGGCAAGGAAATCAGGACATTTGCCCTTGGCACTGGGTTATTGCCTGGTTGTGTGGGAATTAAGGCAGTTGCAGGGCTTGGTCTAACTGTGCAAAGCACTTCCAGCTTTCCCTAATTGTAACTATGGAGGAATAAAGCCCTTATTTTCCGTAGGGATGTAGAAACACCCTCCAGCCACTCTTTCCTCGGGGTTTTGGAGGCATTTTATAAGCAAGTGATATTTGCCTGGCTGCCAGCAGTTATCATCAATTGATAAATAATCCATTTATGCCAAGTTGAGTTTGTGTGTTGAATTGTGAGTACAAGGGCTCCAAATAACCAGGCAAATTAGAGCAAAGACTGATAAGAGAACAGACAGTCTGATCCAAACCTGCTCCGTGGGCAGAGATCAGGTCGATGATATTGTGCCGCGGGACACAAAGAAAGGAGTTTGGGTCATAAAACAGCTGAAAAATTGGCACATTTATCTTTCCTCACCACTTTTCTCCTGTCTCTAGAGAATAGCAACAGCCCTGAGATCCCATAATGTGCAGAGTCATGTGTGGAAACATAAATACAGAAGAGGAGAGACCTCAGTGGGGTTGTCCCAAGCTGGCACCCGAACTGTGTCCACCAGGAGCTGGTGTTGGAGGGAGAGGGAATTCCTGTGGCAGCAGGAATGAGCTCTTTGCCATTTTATTTAGAGACCAGCACCAACTGCTCTGGTTTTAAAGGTGTCTTTGAGGATATAAAAGTTCTACTCTTGGTCTGCTCCAGAGGCTTTTGTGGAGCTGGTTGGTGTTGGATATATGGGCAGCTCCACCAGAGCCCTTCCATATCTGACACCGATACCTCTTCAAGAGCTTTTTGTGGCCCACTAAACTAATTCAGGAGCTGCTGCCACAAAGATGGAATGTGGAGAGTACAGCTCCCTGCTGGACAGAACAGACATTCCTTGGCCTTGAAATCCTCATTAATATCGAGATTTGTTTGGCTAAAACAGTGTCTTTTGCTCTGCAAACATCAGAAGCACTGACCTTTTATACAAAATAGGCACTTTAGTAATTTCCCCCCCTATTTTTCATGGCAAGTTGTCATTTGTTGTTCAAAGCCCTTTAAGGTTATCCTATTATTTGAAAACTTAAGAGGTTTCTTCAAAGAAGGAAACTGTGAAGAAAATGTTTGAGCCCGTAATCCTATTTAGAGATGGGATTTTAGAGGTAAGAGGTCACCTCTTAGTTAAGGATTCCTTATTAGATTGTTGTTTAAGAAAAATAAAATAAGGAAGTGGGGAGTGGGTAACACAGACTTTTGATTCCTTTCAATTAAAATGCTGCAGTATTTTTATTTTCAAAGGTAGATGAACCCAGCTTTAAAAAGTGCCTGATTTTTCTGGGCTGATCATCCAAATAGAAACCACATTTATTTAGAATAACCTCAGTGGTTTAAAATATTGCAGTTGGAGTTTTCTCTGCTGTCTGGGTTGGAATAGAAACAAAAACCATCTGCTTTTTAGCTTGTCAGGAGATATCCATCATCCCACTGGCAATTTTGTTCACTGTGCTCCCAGCTGATGGCTTCCCTCTGACTAAATTCCCTGGAAAAGCACAGAATCCATATGTTTGCTTGTCTCAGAAATGGCAGTGGAAAGCACAACGTGATGAAACAAAATAAATACATTTCAGGCAACAAAGATGGGAAAATAACAAAGCAAAAGAAGCCCAAAGGATTTGTTCAAACAAACAGAGCAATTTCTAAAAGCCTAATGGTGCAGTTCAGATTGTATATAATTATATATTGGAAAACTCGGATTCGTTGGGTAAAAAAATTTGGTATTTTCTTCCTCTAATTTATAGTGTTTTGTTGGTTTGGGTTTGGTTTTCAGAAGTGACCTGGAAGTTCAGAAGTGACCAGGTTCCAATGGCACAGACGTGACCCCAGTGTGTGTGGCTGGAAGTGAACAGGTAAAGTAGCAAACAGTGATTTGAAATGTGTTGATACTTGTATTTTTACCCCCCCTGGGGTATTTTAATACAGCAGTAACTTAAGGCTGATGTATTTTAATCAATGCCTTGAAGTTAAAGTCACAAAATGGCTTCTGTTAAACTTCCCTGTTTTCAAACCCCCAGAACTTCCACTGGCAGCACAGATGGCCTGGATTTGATCTTATACCCCAAGCAGATTTCTTGGGGTTGGTTACTTAGTTTTATGCATTATTTAAAAAAAAATAAAAAGCCTTGGCTTCCTTTGAGTCATGGCCGTCATAAAAACTGCACTTTGGATTATACTTTAGGAGGTAAAATTGCAAATTTGCTCTTCTTGGCTCTCCACGGGAGCCCAGTTAAGTTTGAACCTGCAGACCTGCCCCAGAGCCACGACCTGTCTGTATTTTCACCTATTTAAGCTTCCCCTTAGTGAGGACCTGCCAGGATGAGGATTTGAAGGTCTTGCTGCAGTTCAGACTCTCTCATAAAGCAATTTTCTATTTTAACAACTCTGAAAAATAACGCAGTTTTGCACATTCACCATTTGGAGAGCCAATCCAGTATTTTTTAACAAAGGCAGGTGATTGTTTCTCTTTTTTAAACCCAAATGAGGTGGGATGTGAGTAACTTCAGTGGTAAATTAATTGTAGATGGTTTCTGCCTTTTTTGCAGTGGCTGAAGAGCCGATTTCTCTTGTAGCTGATTCTGGCAGGTTTGTTCCACTTAATGGTAAAAAGGTCAATTGCATGAGAATAAAAAGGAAGAAAAAATCTAAAATGGCATCTTTGAACTAGACAGGCAGTGAAATTAAAATTCTAAATGGTTGATAGGAGGCTTGGAATGCCCCCTGAATAGAAGACTAAACACAGTCGCCTCCTTTATGGAAGAATCTTTTGTTGAAGGTTGGCTTTTCTATCTTTTTGCTGAGTTTCCATCAGCTATTTTATTGTCTAATTACTGCCAGTGAAAGTTATTTATTTCTTTTGTCTAACAACCATTTCTGCAAGTTCTGTGCCCGCCCTGACCACAGAAAAACCTCTTTCCTTCATTTCATTGCCTATGTTATGAAGCACACTCGGTGTCTAATCCTCGTTTCCTTTACATCTCGATTTTAGCAATAAATATTGCCTGAAAGTTTAGATCTAATTATTGAAATCACTTGGGAATCTCCTACATACAGACAGATGATCAAACCTCTAATTTTTATTTATAGTCTCAGCTCTAATTAATGCACATCTTTGTCTGAGCAAAATTATCCCCTTTCTGATATTTTTTTTCCATGCTTTATAGTTTGGGATCATCTCTGTGTTTCATCAATATCCAGTTGGATTTTTTCCTCCAGTTCATTAATAAAGAGATTAAATTGCACCAGCCAACATAACAACAACATTGCTGGATCTGTTCTTTTCCCTTGAGGTCTATACCCCTTGTTTCCTTTCCAGTTAAACATTTCCAGTGTTTTCCTCCACGTCGATCCAGGTATTGTCTTGCCAGGTTCCTTACTTTAAAATTTCCTGGGTATGAAATTTTAGTCCAATTAAAAGCATCTTTCTCCTTCTCCTTCTTTCCCCTTTGCCCCATCGAGCGAATTTTTTTCCTCATTTGTATTTTTTGCAAAGTAATTTAATTTCATCAAAATGTTGAGTCTCTGCCAAACCTGAGAGGGACTTTAACTGGAACACAGCGGGGTTAGAGGTGGAAGTATCCATGGAAACAAACTTCCCTGCAGATGTTCAGATATTCCTCCATCCCAAGCACGGGTAGAACGTGGGGCTGGTTCTGTCTTTGAAGGTTCACACCTGACCAGCACAGCCTGAGCTCTGTTTAATGTCAGATCCCAGCTCCAACAGGTGCTTTAGAGGAATTGTGCTGAAATAATGGATCCACTTCCCTGGTATTGTCTTTGTAGGGAGAAGCCCACATTTTCTCAGTGTTTCCTTCTCTCAAGTTGCATCCTTAGCTCCGTTCTCTCCCATTTTGCTCTGTTTTTTAAGCAGCTCTGTTAAATCCTTGCCTTAACCTTTATATCATTCCCCTCTCCTTGACCCTGAGCCGATCCACAGCAAGGACTGCAGCCAAACCCTGCTTGCCTGGCTCAGCCAAGCAGTTCCAGTCAGGAATATCATCCGTGGGATTAGATGGACAAACACGGGAGAAGTAACCAGAATGCACCAGCTCAACACCCTTCTCCCAGTCCAGCCCTCAGGTAATTCTCCCTGAATTCTGTAAAGATGTATCTAAAAGATCTCAAACCATTGTTTTTTCCTGTTCACATCTTTTCCTCTCTGGTTTCATTCAGACCCTTGGGTCTAAGCCAATTTTTGAAGTTCTAATTGCTCAGGAGCCCCTCACATGCTCCTGCAAGGAGCTTGGCACCATAAAGGCAAATTCCAGTGAAAAAATTGGGGTTTTAGGCAATTTATGATTCCCAGGAGGAGGCAGTGTTTTTAATCTGCTCATAAACTAAGCTCTGAATCTAATTCTTTATTAATTTCTTCATTACTCTTCAAAATAATTTTAACCTGGAGCTCAGGTAAAGAATTCTCATGTTGATAAAAGCTGGCAAAGAGCTGACAGCAGAATTGCTGCCTTGTTGTGCCCCCCTTCATCCCATCCTCTGTTTCCTTCCTCTGGTTTTGTAGCCAAAATAACTGAATATTTTTGAAGTAAATTCTTATTTTAATAAGCATTAACCAGGCAACATGTAATTATCGACACAGGAGCAGAAAATAAGGTGCTGCATTAAGGGATGTCAGTGAAAATAATGGGTCTAAAACTGCAGAGACTTTTTTATAAACACATCAGAAATGCTTGAGGCTTCTCAGGTGATCCAGGGGGGGTTTCCCAATTCCTGCCTGGTTTGCATCCCTCCTTAGTTCAGTTTAGACTCTGTTCCTTTCCAGCCTCGTGTTCTTCCAAAACACACCAAGATGTTCTGGCCCATTGTAGTTGCTCCCTGTAAATGGGCCAGTGAAAATTAATGGGGTTTGCCCGACCCCAGGTCAAAGAGCTCTTTAACTTGGTTCTTTCTGTTTAACTTCCTGACCTGATAATGCTGGAAATAAATCCTTCAGGGAGGTGCTCTGGGTTGTGTCTTAATCTGTGGCAGTTACATCATGAAACAACTGCAAAGAAATGAAGCTTTACATGTAGTTTGCTGAGTAAATCTTCATGGTGTTGGTTTTTTTGCACCAGTCTGAGGAAGCTGAGTTTGGTGTTTGCCCCTGAATCCTTTGCAGGATGTTTAAAATGAAAATTAAAAAAACAAAAAATAATAATCTCGACCCTGTTAATGAGTTTAAGATTTGTTTGGGTTTTTTTCACTCAAAAAGTAGTTCTTAAATAGCCTGAGAGTTCTGCAAGCTTGTCATTGTCTCATCCTGGTGTCCCTCTAGGCCCTGGACATTGAGCTGGTCAAACAAACGGGCTCAGTTGGATGTTGGGAGTGAAAGACATCCCTGGACTTGGGTGAGATCAAAGGAAATGTCAACCATGAGCTGCCAGGGAGTGCTGCACCTTCCCAACCGCTGAGGAAATGAATGGAATTCCCTCCAGGATGAACCATGTTGGGGTGAGTGTGGATATTACACATCCATATGGATTCACAGCAGAGCATGGAAGGGGTTGGCACTTGGCAGAACCCGGCACATCAGGAGTGGGGAGTGACTGCAGAGCATTCCAAGTGCCTGATAAATGTAATTAATAATTGGATGTTCCCCTCAAGGACTGATTTTGCCGTAGGAATTGTTCCTAGGTAATTCACAACACTGCTAGTTTGGTTGGGTTTCCCACGATCCTATGGGATTGTGAGACATTTACATTATAAAGGACTGAAAAAATGTGGTCACTGGAGTCAGGATAATTACAAGTAATTATTATGGTAATTAATAATGGTAATTTTAGTGCCAATGGGTCCCATCCTTTCAATTAGCTGGGAATGAGATGAAGGTCTTCTGGCAGAAAAGAAGGAAGAAAAGGTGCTTTTTGGTTTACTTTGCTCATATCCCTGGAGAGGAGAGGAATTACAGCAGGAAGGAGCCTGTGATTGCCATTGTCATTTGTAACTGGGTTTGTTGTTATTCCCTGATTTTTCCAGGGGCAGTTGTATAATTTGTTGACATCATTAGTTGATAGTAACTGTGTCTAACCTGCATTTTCCTTGAAGTTTGCTATTGCCTGCTCAGCCAGAAGAAAGGCTGGTGTGCCCAAAGCTGCATTTGCTGGTTTAATAGGGCCTGAAAACTTGTTCATAGCAGGGGAAAATTGATTAAAGAGGGTTGTTCCTGGGAAAAATCCATTCTGCTCCTTCGGAAAGCAAGAACAAAGATCCATGTTTAATTCTCATGAGCTGCCACCTGAGGGCCAAGCCAAGGACACCCAAACCAGTCACTTCACCTGGGCAGTGCCTGGAGTGACCTTGGGAACAGTTTTATGGAAAACAACACTCACAACCCTTAAAAAGACAGGCAAGGGGATGGTGAAGGTGGTAACCACTCAGGTGGGCACAGAGTGCCTGCAAATGCCTGGATAAAATGGTGTTGGGTCTCCTCTACTGGTGCTTTTATGTATCCTTACAAATTACAACTCCAAGGCTGCCAGAGCTCAGGGAGTGTTTGGCTGATCCCCTCAGGGACAGGGTGTGACTCTTGGGATGGGCCTGTGCAGGGCTGAGGGCTGGACTGGATGGTCCTTGTGGGGCCCTTCCAACTCAGCATATCCTGGGATTCTGTGGCTTCTCACTGTTCTATTCATCCTGCCCCAACAGAGCCTGTTCCCAGTGAATCCCTGGGCACTGATGGCCCGTGTGCAGGGTGAGTTTTCAAGGAGCAGGTGGGAGGCTGTGACTCAGGAATCATTTCTCAGAGCGCTGATCAACCGTGCAATAGTTTCCTGCTGCGAGCTCAGCCTCTGTCATCCTGAAATACTGAGAGTGGGAGATTGGAATGCTCTGCAAATCCAGGCCTGGTCATGGGGAAAACTGGAGACTGGGATTGATGGCACTGAAGGCATTTTGCTAGTGCAGAGCTGTGTCTGCTGCTCCTCCCTGCTCTGGGCGTGTGTCACTGCTGCTTCCCGGGCGCTGCCTGTCCAAGGGGTTGGATCAGCACAGCCCCTTTCCTGCTGCTGCAGGAGGGGCACCCATCCTGGTTTTACCAGCAGTTCATGGCAGGAGGCTCTGTTTGGTGGGTTGGATTTTTCCCAGTCTGACTTCTGTAGGAGCATTCAATCCTGGGATTCTGTGGCTTCTCACTGTTCTATTCATCCTGCCCAAACAGAGCCTGTTCCTAGTGAATCCCTGGGAACTGATGGCCCACGTGCAGGGTGGGTTTTCAAGGAGCTCTCCCACTTGAGCTTGTGGAGCTGTTTTCCCTCCTCTTCCCTCAGTCACACTTAGAGTGGCAATTCTGTTCTTTTTTATTTTGGCTGATCAAGCCAAAGTCTCTCAGTTCCCAGTTTCCTTCTGTTCCCCAATTACCCTGGTAATCCTTTTCAAACCAGTTTGCCTTTCTGACTCTGTTACAGCTCTGGTAGCCTTTGCTGGGAGCTGCCTGTCCTGCTGATCCGAGTCCTGCTGGAGCAGCACAGCCCCTTTCCTGCTGCTGCAGGAGGGGCAACCCTCCCGTTTGTACCAGCAGTTCATGGCAGGAGGCTGGGTTTGGTGGGTTGGATTTTTCCCAATCTGACTTGTGTAGGAGCATTCAATCCTGGGAACTTTTGTAGCTCTCCCACTTGAACTTGTGGAGCTGTTTTCCCTCCTCTTCCCTCCGTCCCACTTAGAGTGGCAATTCTGTTCTTTTTTATTTTGGCTAATCCATCCAAAGTCTCTCAGTTCCCAATTTCCTTCTGTTCCCCAATTACCCCGGTAATCCTTTTCAAACCAGTTTGCCTTTCTGACTCTGTTACAGCTCTGGTAGCCTTTGCTCAGCCTCTCAAATGAGGTAATTAGGCCCTTGTCCAGCAGCTTGCAGTTTGAAAATAATTCCCGTAGCTTTAATTCCTCCTTTTTGTCACTGTGTGGGAGCTTTAGTCTGAGATCACCTGGGTGGGTGTTCAGCGAGTTCATTTCACACAGTTACACCAGAACACTTTGCTGCTGCCTGAGCCTGAGTTTGTGCCTTGTCCTGCTGAGTTTCACCCAGTTTTCCCTCATCACTCATAAATTTGGGGTTACTTAAACAATATACAGATTGGGATAGATTTGCTGAGCCCATGATTCTTTTTGTAGGTTGACCAAATAAAATCAATATTGGAAGATAATTCTGCTGAGAAAAACGGGTGAATTTAACGGGGGGGGGGAGCTGAACTTTGCAATTAGCACCTTATCCAGCAGCTGAGGGTGTGTTTGTGTAAATTGGCTTTAAACAAAACAACAGTAAACTTGGTTTCTGCAGGGCTTAGATGTTGCAGGAGATAGCTTCCAATTTCATTTCCACATGTCCTATGCAGCCAACGGAGTGCAAAAGGCACAATAAGAGCTTTGCACTCCAGCAAAATCCTTTGGGATTATCTGATTTAATAACACGGGGGAGAAAATAAAATTTCCTTCTGGGTTGGTATAAATAGACATAACTTTTGACTTCTGGAGGCTCTTCTTACTTAGAGTGGCTGAGGCTGTGGCTGTAATGTTATGTTTTGTGACATTTTCTGCCAGGTGCTTTTAAATGGAAAGTGGGGCTCAATTTAAAGGGAAAAGGGAGAAAAAATGAATGAAAAACATTTTCCATTGTGAAAATTTAGGGATTTAAAATTCACTTGAAGAAAGAAGGTTCTTTTAGGTGCTGGTGCCGCCGAGTTAATATTTATCTGGTTACAAATGACCTGCCCTTGGATCACAAAGCTCAGGGTAATTTAAGACCTGTCATTATCATAAGTTGTTATTAATTTTGGATGACTTCAGACCAGGTTCTCAATGAAAATTCAGTGGTAATGGCAATGGGACTTTCTGGGTGAGAAGTTCTTTCTCTGGATGGGGAAGTCCTCATTGCATCACTGACTGTGTATTAACCTGTTCTGTGTTAAGTCTGAGCTGCAGCTTTTTAAACAAGAAATACCGAAAAGAGAATCATTGGAAAATACTTATTTCTGAGCAATTTTTGAGCCATGTTGGTTTTGATTCGTTTTCTTATGGCCAAAGATGTTTCCTGACACGTGAAAAGTCTGTTTTCAGGAGGTCTGAGAGGTCTGTGTAAAACATTTTGCTGTAATGATGGATTAATATCCTTGTGCTAAGTAAGGCTTAAAGCCTAATTCAACTTCATTAATGCAGCCAATTCGTTGTGCATCCACTTCCATCCTGCTCAGGCACATAAATGGGACCCCTGATATCCTGGAATAGAGCAGGACATGTTGCATTAACATGGAGAAGTGAATCCTTTCTCATTATTGAATTTTTTTACCACATTCCAGGCAGGCAGGAGAATTAACATGCAGCAGGGCATGGTCTAGATGACCAATTAACCTCAGATAAATGTGCTCTGGTAATTACTCCCCACACAGCAATGCAAATATTAGAATAAGTTTTAGGAGGGGATTTTATGGATCTTTGAGTTTGAGTAGTTTAAGATTAAACAAACTGCCTGAACTTCACCTGAAATTTTCACCCCCAGACCATTTTCTCTCCCTTCTGAACATGGAACTACACAAGTCAAGACTGCCTGAACTTCCCAAGCCTTTAGCTGTTGGATTGGATGCAGTCCAGGCTGGATGCTCAGACAGACCCATTTCTGGAGACAGGGGAAGTTTCTTTGGATAATTTTCCTGTTGCACAGAGACCCAGGCAAATGCTCCTGACAATCAGTCGAGGCCTTGGAGTTCATACAGACCCAACCACCCTTTCCATTAACAGCAGCACCTTCCTGCTGGCACCTGGCACCCAGAGCCACTTCCATGGGTGTGACCTTGCTGACAGCTCTGTCTGCAGGACCAAAATTCCCTTGCTTTTCCAGACACCCCTCTGAATTCCTCATGACCTTTCCCTCTTGAGATCCACCCAACCAGTCAGCTCTGCTGGAAGATTTGTGCTCGTGCAGCATCACTTGATGAAGGAGAAGGTTGGTGCATCTTACAGCGGGGCCTGGGGAATAACATAATAATATAAAATAATAATTAAAGCAGTTGTGGTTGGGTGCTCTCAGAGCTCTTTGCAGGCAGGATCTGCAGAGGGGGCAGCTCTGTGCTTTAGGAAAGAAATAACTCTTTTCCAACTGGTCAGATTAACACGGAGGAGAAGGAATATTTAATTATACCCTTGCAGAGGGACCAAGTCCAAACTGTACCACTGCAGGAGAGAGATCTGGAAACCCCATTTATTAGGGCCCCTAGGCCATGTTGTTCAGCCACATATTTCCATTTCTAAACAACCTGCTAAAAATCCTGCTCCATGTTCACACAATTATTTCCATGGATGTTCACTTTGTATTTGTGGGAACTTTAATTCGGGGAGTTGCAAGAAGTGGAGCACCTGAGCTCTGCCTGGGAGTGGATGTTGACTCCCCATTCCACCCCCTCACAATTAGTTAATATAATTAACATTAGTTAATAAGCATTGCTTGAGTCCACTACGGGTTTTCT